TCTCTTTGTCTTTTGCTCTTGGAATTTTAATAATGATGTGTCTCGGTTTGGTCCTCTTTGGATTCCTTTTGTTTGGAGTTCTGTGTGCTTCCTGGACTTGTAAGTCTAATTCTTTCACCAGGTGGGGGAAGTTTTCTGTCACTATTTCTTTCAGTTTTTGATATCTTGCTCTCTCTCATCTTCTGGGACCCCCATAATTCTGATGTTGGTTCGCTTGAAGTTGTCCCAGAGGTTTCTTACATTATCTTCAATTTTCTGGATTCTTTTGCCTTCTAGCTTCTGTGGAGGAGTGTCTTCTGGCTCTTTATGTTCCAAATCTTTGACTTGATTCTTGCGATCTTCCCTTCTGTTTTTAGGACTCAGTAAAATATTTTTTATTTCAGACAATGTATTCTTTATTTCTTGTTGATCCCTTATCATTTCTTGTTGACTCCTTATTAATTCTAGTTGATCTCTTTTCATATCCTCATAGGCCTTATCCATCTTTTCTAGGAAATTCTTGAAAAACCTTATAAGCGTAGATTTGAACTCTATATCCAGATGCTTTTTGTCCTCCATTTCTTTCGTTTGTGATCTATTTTGTTGTCGCATTTCGCAGATACAGATGGGACAAGGTTTCAGGGTGGAGCCTGCAGCTTTGGCTTCCGTCAGCCCCGCCCTATGCGGGTCCTTCAGTGCTCGCTGCTGCCGGCGCCTCTGAGAGAAAGGTGCCCTCAATTTTCGCCTGCTACCAAACAGTCTATGCTCTCCCCCAATGAGCCCGGTATTGGGGTTCAGTTCAGTTGGAAGTGGAGTTGGAGGTGGCGTTCAGAGCAGTCCGGAGCCCAGGTCTCCTTCCCGTCAGGGCAATCCCGCGGCACAGCCGACAGTCCCTTCTCTGTGAGCAGTGTGCGCGCCTCCGGGACCTCCTTTCGCCTCTCCCCGGGGTTCCGCCTTACAGCCTGGCTCCCTATGGCTGAGCCTGAGTCCCCGGGGTCTGGCCCAGAACCGGGGTTCAGAGCAGTCGGGGGCCCAGCACAGTCGGAGTTTTATCTCCTTTCCGCTCGGGAACGCCCGCCAGGCACTCGGCCTCCCTCCTCTCCGGCTCTGTCCTCTCCGCGCGCAAGAGTGTCTCTGTACCTTGGGCTTTTCCAGCTCCTCCGCGCCTCTTTCTGGTTTTCTCCTTGCTTCTCGCTGTAGAATTTCCAGTCAGTCAACCTTCCTGTAGTTCTGGGCAATGTCCGTTTTATATTTTAGTTGTATTTTATTGAAATTGTTGTGTGCGGCTGCGGCTAGGTGTTCACCTGGGCGCAGCCATCTTGGATCCTCAGACAATGTATTCTTTATTTCTTATTGATCCCTTATCATTTCTTGTTGATTCCTTATTAATTCTAGTTGATCCCTTTTCATATCCTCATAGGTCTTTTCGAACTTTTCTAGGAAATTCTTGAAAAATCTTATAAGCGTAGATTTGAACTCTATATCCAGTCGCTTTTTGTCCTCCATTTCTTTCGTTTGTGATCTATTTCATTGTCGCATTTTTTTAAAAATATATTTTATTGATTTTTTACAGAGAGGAAGGGAGAGAGATAGAGCCAGAAATGTCAATGAGAAACATCGACCAGCCGCCTCTTGTACATCCCCCACTGGGGATGTGCCCGCAGCCAACGTACATGCCCTTGACCGGAATCGAACCTGGGACCTTTCAGTCTGCAGACCGACGCTCTACCACTGAGCCAAACTGGTTTCGGCTCACTGTCGCATTTTTGCAGCTTCCCTGATGGTGCTGCCTGCAGCCTTGGCTTCCGTCAGCCCCGCCCTATGTGGTTCCTGAGTCTCAGTAATCCCCAGGGTCCTTCAGTACTCGCTGCAAGCACCTCTGAGAGAAAGGTGCCCTCGATTTTCACCTGCTACCAAACAGTCTAGCCTCTCCCCCAATGAGCTAAGAACTGGGGTTCAGTTCAGTTGGAAGTGGGATTGGAAGTGGGGTACAGAGCAGTCCGGAGCTTTTGTCTCCTTCCCGCCAGGACAATCCCGTGGCACAGCCAACCGTCCCTTCTCTGCGCACAATGTGTGAGCCTCTGGGACTTCCTTTCGCTGCTCCCCCGGGGTTCCGCCTTACAGCCCAGCTCCCTCTGGGTGAGCCTGGGTTCCCGGGGTCTGGCCTAGAACTGGGGTTCAGAGCAGTCAGAACTGGGGCCCAGCACAGTCGGAGCTTTTATCTCCTTCCCGCTAGGGAATGCCAGCCAGGCCCTCAGCTGCCCCTCCTCTCCAGCTCCGTCCTCTCCGCGCGCCGCGTGTTTCCGTACCTTAGGCTTTTACAGCTCCTCCGCTCTTTCTTCTGGTTTTCTCCTTGCTTCTCGTTGTAGAATTTCCAGTCAGTTGACTTTCCTGTAGTTCTGGGTAATGTCCATTTTATATTTTAGTTGTATTTTATTGAAATTGTTGTGTGCGGCTGCGGCTAGGTGTTTACCTGTGCAGCCATCTTGGATTCTCTCCTAGTCAGCTCATTCTAAAAGGGCTTTAGGAGAAGAGGGCATGGAACAGTGAGGGCATGAATAAACAAATGGAGTATTTTTTCCCCAGTAGCCTTGAGGACAGGGATCATGTCCGTTTAGCTCAGTCTAGTTTGGTCAATGTCTCTTAGTGAATGTTAAGATAGTATGTTTTGAATTAAAGTACTAAGTAATATTTTAATCAGACAAAAATTAAGAAAAATCACATCTTATATCCCTTTTTATTAGAATAATGCTTTGATAATAGTAACAACAAAGCAAACTTTTTGTTAGCCTCAAATTATTGTCAGGGTAGACAGAATTTTTAGTATATCTGGTTTAGATTGCATAACCAGTATTTAAAACAGTGCAAATAAACTATAGTGGATGCTTAGATATAAGTTAAGTAACAAAATTATAATGATCATTCGTCTTCCAGGCTTTACATATTTTTATTTACAATTTGCTTTAATTTAGGGAGAAGAACTTCTACAGAAGTATCTCAGGGGGGGTTAACTTAGAGGAATAACTTCCACTGAAATGTTCATGTACATTTTTTAGAAATAATAGGCATGATACTAATGTCCTTGGAAAAAAGGTTTTAATATCAACATACTCAGAATACAATTTCTGTGTGAATACAATATATAATTTTAAAATATAAATTATAAAATCATTAATTTTAGAAAGTTTCCAAACTGTGTACCAAAAGAAACGCATATTCTGGCATAAAATTGAACAATTTTCTCTATATTATACCCAAATTAAAGTTTACCCGTATTCTAACATTGAGAAATGAGATGACCAACATTAAAAAGTCTAACCAGAAAAAAGTCAATGATGATTTCATAGACTATTTTATATATTATTTTATATTAGTTTTTTTGGATACATGACTTGTTCTCTTTTAATAACATGATTTACATATTTAACAGAGGGTTATAATGGGGTGGGCAAATGGAAGACTTGAAGGCTGAAGACTAATGTTCAATCTAGAACTTCCTACATTCTATCCCTTGTGCCAGTTTGCACACTGTAAATGTCTGAATGAATAAATAAGTTACATCACACTGATTTCTTCAGCTGTAAATTGGAGGTGATACAACGTATCACACAGAATATTTGTAAAGAACAACCAAGAGAACTAATGGGTACCATAGTGCTTTGTTAACTTTTAAGTCTCTGAGCTAAAATATTTTTAAAGATCTGAGTTAGTAGGGTTTGTTATTTTGTAAAACCATCAAATAAACTCCTTGGCTTTGATGTAGTATTTTATTTAGTTATATTTCCTATTAACAAATATACCATTAACAACAAATTTGTTCAATGTTCATTTTAAAGGGAAAAATATCTTACAACTCATTTAAAAAACACCATGTAATCCAGGTCAACATTAGTGTCCTTTTACTTCCTTTGGTTAAGTTTCAAGAAATATCTTTGTTTCAAAAGAAAATTATTTCATTATAAGAAGGTCTGAAGTTTATATTCTCATTAAATTCCAGTTTACCAAAGCACTTCACATATATGTCCTTTATAGCATTTATCATATTATATAATTTTTTTTTAATTTCAGGAGACTTTGAGCAACTTAAGGGTAAAAAATCTAATCAGATTAATCTCATTTTTAAAAAAGCATTTTATTTATTTTTAAAATGTTTTTATTTATTTATTTTTTTTTTAGAGGGAGAAGAAGAGGGAGAGTTAGAAACATCAATTATAATAGATTGACTGATTCCTGCATACCACCACCACTGGGGATCAAGCCTGCAACCTGGGCATGTGCCTTGACTGGGAATCAAACTGGTGACTTCTTGGAGCAAGGAATGACATTCAAGCAGCTGAGCCACACCAGCCAGGCAAAATCCATCTTTATATCAAGTTACTATAGCATTTGGCTGGTTCTGTTTTTTTTTGTTTTGTTTTTTTTAAACATATTTTTATTTATTTCAGAGAGGGAATGAGAGGGAGAGGTAGAAACATCAATGATGAGAGAGAATAATTGATCAGATGCCTCCTGCCCGCCCCACAGTGGGGATCAAAACCACAGCTCAGCCATGTGCCCTGACCAGAAATCGAACCTTGATTTCCTAGTTCATAGACTGAGGTTCAATTTCTGAGCCATACCTGCAAGGCTTGGCTGGTTTTTTTCTAAAGGTTATGCCTAAGTAGACATAGAATGAATGAACAGAGGATATTTAATAACTCTTAAATGAATGAACAGAGGATATTATAACTCTTTTTCCTCTGCTTCATTCAGAGAATGAATGAAGCAGAGGAAAAAGAGTTATTATAATTCTGATTAGTTTTATATATGGACAAAATGATAAGAAGTTTATCAATAAACTAAAAATAGGATTTTAAGTATCTTTTTAGATTTTATTTTATGAATAAGGCTATTTTTAAGGTAGACAGATGTTAATGAAAGAATCTGATGCACAGTGTTTGGAACATGTTATCAGGAGGACAGTGACATGAAAATTACATAGGGAAAACAAAAAATTTTTTCACTTTAAAATTACTCAGTGGTAGTTGTCTCAAATAATAATGAATGGAAATTGCTGAAAGCTTGTTGTATTTAATAATGTTCTATTTTTGTGATTTTTAAAATGTTATATTAAGATAGCAAGATGATATTGTAAATGGGAATCAGCCTACATTAGTGTTTTGTATTGGGGAGGGGTAGTGAACTACATGAGAATCTGTATTTGGAAAGCATAGTTTATGTTTAAATGATTATTTATCTAACTTATTTTGGGGTATAAAGTAGATATGGTCAATAAGTGTTTGCTGATGATTATGACTAGGTATTGGTAAAAAGATAATTTGAAACCATATTAGAAAAAAGAACATGGAGCTAAATCTAATATTTAAGATAAAATGATGAACAAGGTTTATAATATAGAGTGAAGCAAAAGTAGGTTTACAGTTGTTCATATGGAAAATAATATAATAATTAATAAATAAGAACAAATTCTGCTTCATGTACTCACAACTGTGAACCTACTTTTGCCCCACCCTGTATACACAAAAGGATTTTCATAAATATTTGTTGTAAGTGCCTTACAATTAAAAGAGACTTTCCTATCCTTGCCTTTGTGAAATCTAGTTACTTGGGAGGCATTCCTTATTAAAAGAGGGTGCCAATAGTATGAAAAGACTTTTGCTAGGATCCAAGCAAAACAGCAGTGTAAGCCCTGGCTGGGTAGCTCAGTTGGTTCAATCCCTGGTCAGGGTACATACAATAATCAACCAATGAATGCATAAATAAGTGGAACAACAAATCAACGGCTCTCTCTCTCGCACACACATCAATAAAATAAAAGAACCACCACCCAGCAATTTAAACAGCTGGGGGGAAAAGTATTTGTGTTTTTTTTTGTTTTTTTTTTTAAATCAAGTAGCATTTACTTTATAGGAAAGTTTTATAGTAACTTATGATTAGGTGTATGTTACTTTCATATGGTGGTGTCAGAAAGCTTGAATCAGGATTAAATAACTTCATGATACATTAATAATTTTTGCTGGATTTGATCAAAACTATTAGAAGGAACGTGTTCTTCATAAACATTTATTTGGTGAAGTAAGGCAAACTCTTTAATTGTTCAAGTGGCGACTATAAGAATAGTTCTGACATTCTATTTTGTAAAATAATTAGCACTTGCATAGCTTTATTCACAGACATGTGTTTTTGTAGGGAAGTACATTTTATTTCCCTTTTGCAGAATGGTTGTTCTCTTCTACTCTTACTAAGAAAGGAGATAAAAAGCAAGCTGATGTGTAAGAAAAACTGATTCCATTTTAAGTTATAAGCTGTAGAGATATAATAAGTACTGTTTTATGATTGTAGATTTATGGGGGGAGGGAAAGCTTAAAAGTTTTGGTATCAACATACATGAAGGCAGAGGGAGATTTCTAACAGGGAACTGGTAGCATATTTGCTTATTAATGCATCAATTTTGAAATTAAAAAATTTTTAAGTAAAAGAGTAGTATACAGTTATCTTTTTATTATAGGTAAAAGTTAGATCCTGATCTCTGCATTATTTCACAACATATTTTCTTAGAAAGTTAATATAACCAGCTACCAGTTTTTATGGTACTAGTCTGAGGTACTGGAGTCCTTACTAGCTTGGATGACTCAAGGGTACTTCATATTTAAAAATATTTTCAAAATGTTTTACAATCCATTTTAAAAGATAATATTCTTATGAGGGAGATTTTGATTAGCTCACTTATACTATTAAAAAGATATAGAAAGTTTAAATAAGAGAACTTGCCCTGCAACTCAGGCTTTTTTTCTGTAAAGTTTCCAAATCACAGTGTCAGTAATAATTTAATTAATACAAACCCCAGCAGTTTTAAAGTCATATTTAATATTGGTTAACTCCTACTTACCTTACTTAGAATGTAATGTCTCAACTTTGGTACACAAAAACATTTTTTCTAGTATAAATTGAACACATAAGTGTTATAGAGTGTTCTTGAAAAGTTGTTTAAAAAAGCAAAAACACATCTTGCAAAACTTACTAGCAAATTTTTAATGTATGTAATTCTCATGTAAGGCACTTCCATGCTTTTTCAAATAGGTTTCATAAAGTTTTCTATTTTTGTAATCAACTCTTCATAAGTTATACAGTAAGAATGTTACTTCAAGTAAAACTTTATTACATACCCAATTTTGGCATTATTTCCTTAAATATCTTTACCTTTGAATAGAATAAATTATGGGCATCAAGACCGATGCAAGCTAATCTTCCTTTTTTCTTTTTGTGTGCAGGCTAATCTTAAATAAAAGCACTCTTGATCAGGTTTATATTCAGAGAATTGGTAATGTTTTATCTTGTTGGTCTTGTTTAAGAATCTTGAAATCCTCCAAAGGAAGACTGCGTAAGGCAGTTGGTAAAATGTGTTCGGATGTGCCTTTAGGTAATATGTTATTTGCTTCTAGATTCTTCACCAAGCAAGTGGTTTTGATCCATCTTTGAGTTGCTCTGCGTTCTTTTTGTAGGCAAGTTTTCATTTTCCTTCTTAAACTTGCTATTTCTTTTTCCAGTTTAATTATCCTCTTTTTTGCCTCCATAGGATTCCTAAAGGCATAACTGTGTTCAAGTAGCACTTGTTGACTATTAATGTTTGATTTTAAATTAGATGGTCCAGTTGGAGTACAACTGTTACTTTTCTTCAGAAGATTCCGTGACTTGAGTTTCTGCACCAAATAAATTAGAGGGTTGTACATAAGTTATGCACTATCACAAATAAATTTTGTCCAATTTAAAGAGTATTTAAATTTCCCTTTTAAAAACTGACTTTAAAAGATAGCAAACATCACCAACCCATCTCATGTAATCATAGTTCTTCAAGTGGTTGAATTAACTTGAGTCACCTATTTCTTCTTGTTTTCCCTCTCCAGAGAGATACTAACATTGGTTTGGAAACAGACAATGGACTTCCAAGGTCTTTACAAATTATTATGATTTTATGGAGACTATAAATATCTTTTGTAATTGTCTAAGGCCAATATAATATATTTAAATATTTATGTGATGTAAATATCTAAATCCTGGGTAAATATTATTTGTTCAATTAATATTATTTGTTCAATTAATATTATTTGTAGGTAAATATTATTTGTTCAATTAATATTTCAGACCTTGGATCCTACTTAATAAAAACATATTCCCAAGTATCAAGCCCCTGAATAGATTTAGTACTTACTGTTTAGTTATAGCTCCCATTCAAGGATTTAAAATGTGGGCAGAAATTTTTGCCCAAATCAGAAACCTGAGGAACCTTTTTTCTTTTATTACTTTCATTCAGTTGGTCATAAAGTCCTATTAATCCTACATACTATATATCTCTATCATGAATCATCTCCTCTAGCATTCTTTTTAAAAATTATTATCAAATCTATTGGTTAACATGATCATATAGGTTTCAGATGTGGGATTCTATGTTACAAGATCTGTATATTGCACCACGTACCCACCACCCAAAGTCAAATCTTCTCCTTTCACCATATATTAGGTCCCCTTTTCCCCACCCGCCTCTTTAGCATTTAAAAAATATATATATTTTATTGATTTTTTAGAGAGGAAGAGAGAGGGATAGAGAGTTAGAAACATCGATGAGAGAGAATCATTGATCAGCTGCCTCCTGCACACACCCCACTAAGGATGTGCCCGCAACCAAGGCACATGCCCCTGATTAGAATAGAACCCGGCACCCTTCAGTCTGCAGACCGATGCTCTATCCACCGAACCAAACCGGTCAGGGCCTCTTTAGCATTCTTAATGCTACTTCCATCAGGCCTATATTATATCTAGCTTAAATATGTCATTACCTACCATAGATTTTATATGGGTACAAAAATCAAAAATGGTTGGAACAGCATCCATTTTAAGTCGTCGAGTTTGTCCTGTTAGGTCAAAACAGGAGGCTTCAAAGTGCTTTGAACAAAGAAAAGTGTGTTTTCCTGGCACAAAATTTTTGCGCCTAACCAGGCGAACCCATTCTTTTCTTCTTTTAGGATCCAAAGGAAACCTTAAAAAAAGAAAAAAAAAAGAAAAGGCAACTCAAATTCCAACTATCACAGTTCTCGTTGCACCTAAATGGTTAAAACATTTTTTTAAAAAAATGTATTTTTATTGATTTTTTTTACAGAGAGAAAGGGAGAGGAATAGAGAGTTAGAAACATTGATGAGAGAGAAACATCGATCAGCTGCCTCCTACTGGGGATGTGCCCGCAACCAAGGTACATGCCCTTGACCAGAATCGGACCTGGAACCTTTCAGTCCACAGGCTGACGCTCTATCCACTGAGCCAAACCGGTTTTGGCTAAAACAAATTTTAAGTGGTGATGTCTTCGGCTTGGCTGCTGTGGCTCAGAGGTTGAGTGTTAACCCATGAACTAAGAGGTCCCCGGTTTGATTCCTGATCAGGGCACATGCCTACGTTGAGGGCTCAATCTTCAGTAGGGGGTGAGCAGGAGGCAACTGATCAATGTTTCTCTCTCATTGATGTTTCCATCTCTATATCCCTCTCCCTAAAACCAGTAAAAAACATTTTAAAGTGTCTTTAATTTACACAAAAAAATGTTATATTTCCAATATCCAGACACTGTCACAGAAACCAATTCATGCTAATTTTTATAAGTTGTAAAAAATTAATAAAAGCTGACTTGAATGGTTTTATTTTTCAGGGTTTTAAAAAGAAATCTTTCATCCTACTCCAGTCCTTAACTTGGGCAGTAAAAAGAAACAAGACTACAGTAGCTCTCCATTGGTTAGAACATCGTCCTAATACACCTAGGTTACTGGATCCATTTCCAGTCAGGGCACAAGAATCAACCAATGAATGCAGAAATAAGTGGAACAACAAATCAAGCCCCCCCCCCCCTCCTTTTCCTCTCTCTGTAAAAAGCAAATAAACAAACAACAACAAAAAACCCTAAACTAGATCAAGCTTATGTAGAGCTGTAGAAAGAGGAGAACTTTACATTGTACAGATCTGCTGCTGATATACTAGTACATGGTCAAGATAAATGAAATTAATGCTTGGGTTGTAGGCTCGATCCCCAGTAGGGGATGTGCAGGAAACAGCTGATGAATGATTCTCATCACTGATGTTTCTATCCCTCTCTCTCTGAAATCAATAAAACTATATTTAAAAAAAGATAAATCAAATTATCTATAGATTAAATTTTATCAAGGAAAGCCTAAATAGATTCTGGTATTCCTCTGTGTTCCTTCATTCTGACACTGTTTTGTTTGAAATAAAAGTAGACTATAAATTTCCTGAGGACAGGAATCACTGTATCTTTTTTTATCTCTATCTTTTTGTTTTGTTAACCCTCACCCAAGGAAATTTTTTCCATTCATTTTTAAAATGTTTTTATGGACTTTAGAAACAGGGAAAGGGAGAGAGAGTTTGAAACATCCATGATGAGAATTGATTGCCTGCTTCCTGCACGCACCCCCTTCTGGGAATAGAGCCCACACCTGGGTATGTGCCCTGAACAGGATTCAAACCCTGATCTGGGATTTATGGATTGCTGCTCAACCACTGAGCCACATCAGCTGGACCCAGTGAGAGAGGATGGAAGGGAGGGAGGAAAGAGAATGGGGGAGAGAGAGAAAGAAACATCAATGTGAGACACATTAATTGGTCTTCAGAATGCGCTCTGACCTGGGCAAAGAATCAAACCTGCAATCCAGGTATGTGCGCTTGGACTGGGAATCCAACTGGAGACCTTTTGGTGCTCAGGGCCTGGGCGGGTGCTCTCATCACTAAGCAAGCAGGGCTAGGGCTTATCTCTTTAACACTTAGTACAGTTGCCTTGAGTGAGGACTCAACAAATATCTGCTTAGTTAAAATGAGACAGAATATGTAAATTAATAACTCACTGTATAACTTCCATGTAAACAGCATACAGTTTTTAAAAAATGAATGCTATGTAGTACAGTAGAAATCATAATAATTACAAAAAGTAAAATGCTGCTGACAAGCCCAGCAGGAATGTTTTTCTTGTCATATTTATTTCAAATATACTAATGTGTACCCAGTTAAGGAAGAGAAAAATATAAGGGACTGTCAAAATTAGTGTTAGCTGTGTTGACTGATTTGGAAACATAACCATCAACATTCACATGTAACAACTTCGAGTTCAACTCTTCTTTAGTTTGATTACCTAATGAACTGCGTAGTGTTTAAAAAGAATCATTCATGTTAGACGATCATGTGGCTCCCTAACCGTCGCTTCACTAGGTAACAGCTTTGGCTATTATCAGACATCCTGTTTGCTTAAATGACCAGCATTGAGGACACAAAGAGATGAAAGCCCAAATTTACTGATAAATACTTTCCAGTCTCCTGTCCCCTCAACTCCGAACATACTCTGATCTGAAGATATTAGCATTTATTTGTCACTCTACAGTTCACATTTTCATAAATGTAAGTTTTTTCCTATTTCATTAGAAACTCCCAATTAATTTATTTACTCTGCATACCCCTCACCTTTTAGTAAAATGTATTCTCACTTCAAAGATCTCCGTTCCAATATTTAATGGTTTGGAAATATTTCCTGTGCCCTGAGCTTAAAAATCAAGCTTTAGTTTATAAACACTAAACTTATGAACTTCTTCTTGTTGGGGGCCTCAATAAAGATTCAGAACATATAAAATAAGTACTATCATTGGGTTATCATTTGTACAAGACTATTCAGAAATATGAAGGCTGTCTTTAACCCCTTTTTAGCTTTTTAAAAATGAGCTCCCTAATTATATAATCAATACCTCCAACAGAACCTTAACCAAATTTTATTTCCATCTTTTAAGGCTCCATTAAGGAATATCATCTTCCTAAAGAAGTTTTCATGATCAGAAGACAAGGTTAGATGTTTCTATTGTATATGATAAAAAATTAATACTACTGTATTCTAATTGCTTGATTTTCTATCTCCACCACTCTATCACGTTTTTCCTGGTTAGAACTGTTTTTCACTAGTTTATCATGTTAAGCACTCAGTGAGCTTTTCTGAGTGAATCAATGAACTAATGGAGCTAGCTTAACATTACTAAATAATCTTTAGTTATGTGTTTAAATAGAATAATAACCAACAAATTTATTGATTTCAGAGAGGAAGGGAGAGGGAAAGATGATGAGAATCATTACTTCCTGCACACCTCCCACTGGGGCTGAGCCTGCAACCTGGGCATGTGCCCTGACTGGGAATCGAATCGTGACCTCCTGTTTCATAAGTCAACACTCAACCACTGAGCCATGCTGGCTGGGCTAATCAACAATTTTATATTTGATTTTTCCATAATCATATTTTGCATGTGTTAGATTTTTCTTAGTATGTTCAAAGAGGGTAGATATAGCCCATAGTTGAATTTAAATAATAAATCATCCTGTAAGTATTTTAAAAATAACACAGTGGTAACAGATGGATATATGTTTGTCTACACCATAATAAAACTAAGCTTTCAGAAACATTAGATGTTTGGGAAAAAAATCACTCAGTATTTTAAGCAATGCTATTTGACTTGGGTCTTTTTTTTTTTTTTTTCCTAAGTTGCATGTTTTTTTGTTGTTTGTTTTTTAATATATATTTTATTGATTTTGTACAGAGAGGAAGGGAGAGAGATAGAGAGTTAGAAACATCGATGAGAGAGAGTCATCGATCAGCTGCCTCTTGCACAACCCCTACTGGGGATATGCCCGCAACCAAGGTACATGCCCTTGACCGAAATCGAACCCGGGACCTTTCAGTCCCCAAGCCGACGCTCTATCCATTGAGCCAAACCAGTTTCGGCTGACTTGGGTCTTTAATAAATGGCTGAATTCCCTTATATTCCAAGAAATGCCCTAGGAACTGTGCCAAGTGGTAAATAAAACTGACCTACTTTTATGGTATCTACCTTCTATTAAGGTCATACTGTTAATGGGGAGGATAGAGAATTGAACAGCTTGGTGCAATAGAAAAGAATGCCTGAGAACTGTTGTCTCTCAAGTCAAATCAGGGTGTCAATCCTGGTTACTTTACATAACAACTAGGTAACTTTAGGCAAGTTATGCAACCTTTTTAGTCTTTAGTTTTATTGTCTATAAGGTATCATTTTAATGATATCTAGTGTGGTTCTAGGGCACATGTGTCAAACACAAGGCCCGCGGGCCAAATCCGTCCCGCCAGGCCTTGCAATGTGGCCCGCACCGCGCTGTCATCACTGCACTCCGTTGCGTTTCCATCACAATGACAGTTTATGACTGTTCAGTAAACCATTCGGCCCGCGATTTAGGCTGGATTTTAGATTTTGGCCCCTTCTCTGATTGAGTTCGACACCCCTATTCTAGGGATTAAATGAGACAGTTTATGATAAATACTAGATAAATGTTATTTGTTATTATAAAAGTAATTACTGTATTTTTCGGACCATAAGACGCTCCGGACCATAAGACGCACCAGTTTTTAGAGAAGGGAAATGAAGAAAAAAAGATTCTGAAACAAATAGTGTCCTAAAATATTTTATGTGCATTAAAACCCAACATCACAGTCATAAACACATGTAATCAACCCTGTAAAGTAAACAGCAGCATTTAGAACCATTTTAGAGCCGGGCAAGCACACAGAGACCACACAGAGCCGGGCAAGTAAAAAAACTTTTTTTTTAAAGTATATGTGTAGGCTATATTTGGACCATAAGACGCAGGGACTTTTTCCCCCCACTTCTGGGGGAAAAAAAGTGCGTCTTATGGTCCGAAAAATACGGTACAAGTGTCTTGGGTGTTCTAAAAAAGGTTAAGTACAAGGTTGAATGGAACCATAAAACTGGAAGAGCTAATCTATCAGGAGGCTTTAGGATAGTGGGAATTAGCTAGAGGAATTAGGGTGGGATTAGTAGAGTGTTATTACATGAAATGATGCCAGAGAACTTTCTAAGTTAAAGAGTAATTTTGAACTTTATCCAAAATGGCATCGGCAAGCTACTATAAGTCACAATTTAGAGCTGATTAAAAAAAATGTGTGGCTTTTTTTTTTTTTTTTTTTTTTTTTTTTTTACTGATTTCAGGAGAGGGAGGGAGAAACATCAATGAGAACCATCAATTGGCTACCTCCTGCATGGCTCGTACTGGGAATGGAGGCACGTGCTCCGACAGGGAATTGATCAGGAATTGAATCGGTGGACCTCCCAGTGCATGGGATGGTGCTCAATTGATTGAGCCATACAGAGCTGGGGGCATTATCTTATTCTTAAATTAAAACTATGTATGTCTGTTATATCTATATGGTATAAATGCTATATAGAGTAGTGTGGTACTGCACATCTCTTCCCAACATTATGATTAGTGATGTCAGGTTGGTAGTTTGAAACCAGATAATGTAGGGAGCATTTATATTATAGAATTAGGGCAAATACCATGAATCAGGGCTTTCCCCCTTCCTTGGAGATTCTGTTGTTAAACATTTAGGAACACATCACTGATTACAGAAGTTAGGAGTACATGAATGGAAGCAGTGAACCAGTTAAGAGGCTGCTGTAATCGAGTCAAAAGGGAATGGTAGGAAGTTAAGAAAGGATGGCCTTCCGATTTCTGTGTAGTAAATGATGTTTTCATTTACTGAGAAAAGGCATGTGGGAAATGGAATAGGTTTGAGGAAAGGGCAAATTCTTTAATACAGTTTTGATATAAATCTGAAGAACTGGAGAGGCCAGGGGAATACTGAGACACTTGGACTATATATAGGTCTAGAACTCAATGGGATTTGGACTGGAGATAATTTGGGAAGCATCACCAAGTAAATATTAACAGACCACAGCAACAGTTGACATTTTTTTTTTTTTAACAAAGAGAGGGGCTGGCAGGGAAGATAGACTACAGAAGTAATTGAAAAGCACAAAATTAGTGTCAAATAATTCAAGAGTAGAGAGTATTTCAAGGAGGAAATGATCAGATGCCATGACAAAGGAATACAGTAGTGACAGCTTATGCAATTTCAGAAAATTACTTGTGAGACTTAGTCCTGAGTTGGCAGAGATAAGAAAAAATGAAGATAGTTAAGTTCAGGCAACATAAGTTGTATATGGGAATAAAAGAAATCTATCAATGTCTTAGGAGTTAGTTCATAGTGTGTGTTTATAAAATAGAAATGTATTTTTATTATTTTAAAAATAAATATATTTTATTGATTTTTTTTTTACAGAAAGGAAGGGAAAGGGATAGAGAGTTAGAAACACCGATAAGAGAGAAACATCGATCAACTGGCTCCTGCACATCCCCCTGGGGATGCGCCGGCAACCAAGGTACATGTCCTTGACCGGAATTGAACCTGGGACCATTCAGTCCGCAGGCTGACACTCTATCCATTGAACCAAACAGGTTTCGGCGAAATGTATTTTTATTGTTATTTTATGACCTACATTTTTGGGTTACACATGAAAATGTTAATTTTTAAGAAGCAAATAATCAAACATGGAAAGGAAGTATGCATGCTACTGTACACTATGTATCTCTTAAACATTCAATATTATTGGTCCTAGACTCCTTCCTATCTCTCATCTTCCAAATCAAATACAGTAGTTTCTCCTCAAATATTTCTCAAATCTGTCCACTTCTTTCCATCCTTACTGTGAGTACTACTCTAGGCCTCTGGGTGGACTCCCCCTTGTTTTAAGGCAGGCTCCTGTTTTTTCTCTTATCAACTCTCACCTCTCCTATTCTAGTGTTGGTTGTGACAGCAAAGAAATACATTGTGTAGTTCAGTTGACACTGTAGTGTGGATTTCCTTGTGAAAGAAACAGTGGGTAAGTAAACATTCTTTAAACAAGCTTCTTTCTCATTGAATTTCTCTCTGGGTGATACTCAACCAGCACTTTCAATAACACTATTCTCCACATTTCAGCTAAAGGACTTTTTAATATGCACATTTAACCATGCCATTTTTAAAAAGCCTTCCATGGCTTCTCAAGTACTAATGGATAAAATAGAAAAATCCTTAAAGGGGCATACAAGACTATGTTACCATTTGGTCTCATTTGAAATTTCACATCCTTTGAGAAGTGTTCTTTGACTTTACTAGGCTAAGTTAATTCTCCCTGAATGTCTTTTCTGCAATTATATTTGTCTTTTTTTTTTTATTTTTTTTATTATATTCTAAACTTCAAGAATATAAAAACTTCCTGGATCTCTAGCATGATGTCAGGCAAATAAGAACTTGGTACACATTTGATAGATGGACAAAACACTACATTTGATGAAGTAGTTGAAAACAGAAACATCACAAATATTTTTTTAAAGTGGAACTTTTTATTTATTTATTTACTTATTTGTTATATATGTAGGGCGTAATATCACAGGACGGTCCTGGTATCTTGCCACCTGTGAGAAGTAAGCCCAAGTTGCTGTTGGATGTGTTTCTTACAAGGGAGCCATTCTTCAGGCGCTCTACTCTCTCCACATCCATTAAAGTGGAACTTTTTTTTTTGTTTTTTAAATATATTTTATTGATTTTTTTTTACAGAGAGGAGGAGAGAGGGATAGAGAGCTAGAAACGTCGATGAGAGAGAAATATCGACCAGCTGCCTCCTGCACACCCCCTACCGGGGATGTGCCTGCAACCAATGTACATGCCCTTGATAGGAATCGAATCCAGGACCCTCAGTCCGCAGACCAACACTCTACCTACTGAGCCAAACCGGTTTCGGCGAAAGTGGAACTTTTAATAAGGGGGTACATTATGTCATGAGGTAGGGAAAAGGTCAAAGATATAATTTTCTACATCCTATGATTGTATTAAGTTGTGAGGTATATAAAATCAGAACTGTTTACACTTAATGCTTTTTAGTGCTCCTTTTCTTCAGTCACATGGCAGGCACTTGCAGAGAAGGTAAACATTTATTTACTCTATTTCATGTAGTGTTCAAAGTGCTTTCAAGAGTTCTGATTTGAGAGGACTGAAGAATTTTCATTGGCCCTACCTGGTTTGGCTCAGTGGATAGAGCCTCAGCCTGTGGACTGAAGGATCCTGGGTTCAATTCCAGTCAAGGGCACATGCCTGGGTTGCAGGCCTGATCCATAGTAAGGGGCGTGCAGGAGTTAGTCTATCAATGTTCTCTCTCATCATTGATGGTTCTTTCTCTCACACTCCCTTCTTCTCTAAAATCAATAAAAATACACGAAAAAAAACACATACAAAAAAAACTTCCTTCCAGCAAAGGAAGGCAGAACCTAGGTTCTTTTTATTACTCCTGGTAAGAACAGGAATCTTATCTTTTGCACTTTCATTAATATTGCCTAAGTCCATGATTATCATCAGTGATGACTCAATTTCTCTGCAGAGTTAGTGTACGGGACTATTAGAGAAATCTAAACGCTTCCCATGTCAATTTAGCTAGGAAGAATTTCCTGACTTTAACGGGAACACAGTAGACTTGAAGGCGATTGCCAACTTGAGCAGGAAGATTTCTTATGGAGTCATTAATGTCAAGACCAGTCTACTACGTGGGAGTAAAAGAGTAGAAAATTAAGGTATCCGGCTGTCACTTTTATAAGGAGTCATCCCCATACAAAACTTGGATTGCTTTTATAAAGCAAGTACATCTTCCCCCCAAGGGGAGAAGTATTGGACAGATTTGAGAAACACACAAAGGGGGGAAAAAAATACAATGCCTCCCTGCTACCCGCTAGGTAGCGAAGTTATCAGAATTAGCGGAATCCTCGTGTTCCTTCTGCACAAGCAAACGTTCAGTCTAACAGCTCGCGTTTCCTCTCTCCCCCCACTCCCCGCCCCGGTTACCTGTGGAAGCTGATGTTAATGTGCTTGTTGTAGGTGGTGGCGCAGCCCGCCGCGGCGCAATTGGTCGGCATTTCCCTTTCCCCCTCATTCGGCGCCGTCGTGAGCCAGTCCCGGGGCGCTGACTGCTGCGCTGGGCCGGCGAGGCAGGGGAGGCCCCCCGCGCAGAGCTCGGGGCGGGGTGGGCACAGGTGTGTGTGTGTGTGTGTGTGTGTGTGTGTGTGTGCGCGCGTGCGTGCGTGTGTGTGTGTGTGTGTGTGTGTGCGTCGGGGGGTAGGGAATCAGCCTTCCCTCTTTATGAATATGGCCGACTCGAGCCCGCAGAGCCGTCAGTCCCGCAGCGCCAGTCGCCTTCCTTTGCCTTCACCAACATGGCGGACACAACCCGGCCCCCTCCCTGGCCCCCAAAAGGGAGAGGGACTACTACTGCTTCTCTTTAGGAGATGTCTTGGGTGGGCAGGGGAGGGGGGGGGAGAAGGGGAGGAAGAGGTATACTATCCGCGTCCCGCCCCCCCTACTTCTAGGATACACTCTCGAGGCCGAGATGAAGAACAGACCCGCCCCTTCCAACACGCACCCAGATAATCCCAATCCCGTCCGAGGTGGGTGTGAGTTGTAGGCTGGAAGGACAAACCCCCTAAAGCCGGAAAGGAAAAACTACAAGTCCCACCGAGCATCGCGTGGTTCTTAATCGTTCTCGCGGGAACTGAGGGCCTTGTTTCCGGCCTTCCGTAGGAAGTGACGTCGTGGGCCGAGCCACTTTCCGACCTCCCTTTCTCGCGAGGCGGAAGAGCTCTATTCGCGAAGGAGCAAGGGGGCGCTAGGGTAGGGAACTGGGTTGCGACGGTCCGGCGAGAGAGCGCTGGGGTGCCGGGAGAAGTTGGGGAGCACAGCCCGCTAGGTGTCCGAGAAGGGCAAGGCCGCGCCGACCGGGTCCGTTAGGAAAGAAGGGGCCGAGGAGGAAGGTAATCGTCGGGCGGTTCCCCGGACGGAGGACTCGGGTGGTGTAGAAGGCGCTGGCTGCCCTCGGGATGGCGACCGCAGATCCTCCGGCCCCAGCCTCCAGCGGCCTGTCGCCCAAGGAAGAAGGGGAGCTGGAAGACGGGGAGATCAGCGATGACGACAATAGCCAGATACGGAGCCGGAGCAGCAGCAGCAGCAGCGGCTGCGGGCTGTTACCGTATCCGCGGCGGAGGCCTCCTCACCCGGCCCGGGGCGGCGGATCCGGCGGTGGCGGCGGCGGCGGCGGCGGCGGCTCCTCGTCGTCATCGTCCTCTTCGCAGCAGCAGCTGCAGCTGAGGAATTTCTCTCGCTCGCGGCACGCGGAGCGAGGCCACCTCAGGGGACACAGCAGCTACCGACCCAAAGAGTCGTTCCGCTCTCACCAGCCCTCCGTGCGGATGCCGTCGGGCCCGCTGTCCGAGGGCAGCCCCCGGCCGTCCTTCTGGGAACGGAGCCACCTCGCCCTGGACCGTTTCCGCTTTCGAGGCCGGCCTTACCGGGGCGGGAGTCGCTGGAGTCGGGGTCGTGGAGGGGGTGACCGAGGTGGCAAGCCGGGGGGCAGACCACCGCTGGGCGGAGGGCCGGGATCCGGATTCAACGGCGGCCAGAGCTGGCGGGAGCCCTCTCCACCTCGGAAGAGTTGTATCCTTAACGTGGCGGTCGGCCCTGGGTGTGTCCCCAAAGTTTCCCTCTAGCGTCATTGCTTAGGTCTGCGAGATGAGTAACTTCACGGAACCCGTCGAAGCCGCTTGTTTGTTACTTCAAGTAAGTTGTTCTTGGGTGATCCCCGTGTGTCATGCTGTATAGTGTTTTTAAAGATCGCTTTATTGGGTATATTGCTTTTTTTACCGTTACCGAGTCATTGTTTGGTGGGGCCAAGCTAGTATTGTAGAATCTAACAGTCTTAAAATCAGATTTGTAACAGTTCCTCAGAAGCCTACGTTTTATTAGCACTTGTCTTTGCTGGTACAGAAACTTTATACGTGAGGTTAACGTGAGACTGTTAGAGGGAGAGAAGAATATATAGACAATTTGAGGAATAGTGTTTTGTTTTGTTTTAAATCGTATTACACTTTGATATTATAAATTATGAAGTTTTATTCCGCATAATTTTACCGTTTTTGTTTGTGATTTTGTTTTTATCTTATTTGATTTGTTCTTATATATTGGTGTCCTTTAAAGTGGGGAGAAAAGACCATATACTATTATCTTCACCAACTATGCTAATTCAGAGGATTTAAATTCATGTATCTACTTGGAAAACTTTATTTCTTTAACTTATCTGTTTCTTACGTTTACTTTCTGGACATTTTATAATTCCTAGTGCTGACAGATCGGGTCAGAAAGGGAAGTATAAACTTAACAGTATTTTAATTTTAACATATGGGCAGCCATAGGGATGTATGGGAGGGTGGAGATGTGAAGCGGTTGAGAGACAAAATACCTGATTTTTGTTTCCTCTAACCTTATTCTTCGTTATCTTTAACATTCCCGAGTCTACACAATATTTATACTGAGTCACCTGAAATTTTGCTATTTTGTGATGGGTTGGTAGAACTATGTCTTGCTTATTCGATGATAATTACATAAAAGTAGTTTACTTGGCACCTTTACTATTGGTTGCAATTTCAATGGTATAATGATTTTGTTAGTATAATTATATATGAAACTTACATATAATGACATTTGTTTGGAAGGCACTCAACATTATTTTTATACTAGAGCCATATGGTCTTTTTTAGATTTCAAGATACAAAGGGGACAGGAAATGTAGGTTTAGGTAAATAGCTAGCTTTTGGTGCTAGTGACTTGTAAAAACTTATTTCGGCAACCAAAATTTGAGTTAGGAACATTCCAGGATTATTTCAGAGAAAATCATGTAGGTATTTAACTTTTAAAGCCAGAGAGGATGTTTTTCAAAAAAGTTAAAATCCCTGCCTGAGATATTTATTAACCAAGGATTGATTTGTTCATTGTCAATTCTGAATCTAAAAACAGAAAGGTATTTATGCTCATACTGGTATGTATTTTTTTAAAAAAATATATTTTATTGATTTTATACAGAGAGGAAGGGAGAGAGATATAGAGAGCTAGAAACATTGATGAGAGAGAGTCATCGATCAGCTGCCTCTTGCACACCCCCCACTGGGGATATGCCCACAACCAAGGTACATGCCCTTGACCGGAATCGAACCCGGGACCCCCCAGTCCCCAAGCCGACACCCTATCCATTGAGCCAAACCGGTCCCGGCTGGTATGTATTTTTTAAGAATAGAAAAAATGAAATGTGTAATTTTTGATGGAGAGAGTTAAATAATTAATTTAATGTAAAAAGTTCAAATTGAGGTGCATAGAAAGGGTTATGGGAACTCAAAAGTTTATTCTTAAATTATTCTGTAGAAAAGGGGTGATGAGTGGGTTTCCCTACCTCCTTCCTTTGCCTTCCTTCTGTCCACTCATTTAATATCAATTCGGCGTCTGCCTTATACCTTCATTAATTAAGTTCATATGTTTTTATTAATAAACAGGCATATGAAGTTGTAAAAAGTACAGGAAGATAACCAGTCTGATTTCTCTATTAACTTACTAGAAATGAGCTGTCTTGATGTTTTTGTTTTCACAGACACTGCATTTAAGAAAAGGATGCTTGTTTTGACCCTCTGCTAATTGCTTTTCTCGTGAAGTATCATTAATCTATTCTAGAGGTGATATTCTTTTAAGGCTTTGTGAAGAAAAACATAGTTCCCAGCTACTTTTTTATAACATGAGCAAACAAAATTTGTAATGTGAAATTTTATTTATTCAAATTTCTTTCTTTTTAAAAGAATTATCTTTATTGTTGAAAGTATTAGTTGACCAAGATTGTACTGAGTTTAATTCATATTTTCATTGTTGGTTATAATAATGACATTTCTATTTTACAATTTTTGCATTCAGAAAGAAAAATTTTGTGGCTCATTTCCATAATCCAGAAGTGAAGCAGCATGAATACAGATTTTTTTTTTTAACTTCTTTGTAATGATTAAGGTATGTTAGATGTAGCTTAAAAGAAGTAGAATAAACCAAATCCTATTGCAGTACTTACTGTCTTTTAAAAAATATTTCAGAATTGATGAGAGAGAGAGAGAGAGAGGGAGAGAGGGAGAGAGGGAGAAAAAGAAGTGGGAGAGAAACATCAGTGTGAGAGAAACATGATTCAGTTGCTTCCTGAACTCCCCCTACTGGAGATGGAGCTGGAAACCCAGGCATATATGTGCCCTGACTGGGAATGAAGCCCCGCACCTCTTGGTGCATGGGATGATGCCCAGCCAACTAAGCCACACCAGCCAGAGCCAGTACTTATTTTCATTCTTTATATATATATATATATTTTTTTTTTTAATATATTTTATGGAATTTTTACAGAGAGGAAGAGAGAGGGATAGAGAGTTAGAGACATCGATGAGAGAGAATCATCGACCAGCTGCCTCCTGCACACCTCCTACCAGGGATGTGCCCGCAACCAATGTTCATGCCCTTGACCGGAATCGAACCCGGACCTTTCAGTCCCCAAGCCGACGCTCTATCCATTGAGCCAAACCGGTTTCGGCTATTCTCATTCTTAATTGATTTGAGAGATGGGGAGAGGAAGAGAGGAACTTGATGTGACGGGAATCAAACTTGCTACCTTCCAGACTACGGATGATGTTCCAGTCAACTGAGCAACACTGGCCAGGGCATTCTCATTCATTCTAAATTTTTCTTAGTGATAGACAGTAGCATATGTCTCCTTTTGATGACTACAGTTTTAAACCTTCAAATCTGATGAGAGCTAAAATATTAGACCAGTGTCTCTCATTAGAAAGTCATTTTATTTTCTCCTGTAGTTATAAAGGTTGACAGGTAGCTTGTTTTTAAAACCAGGTTTCAGCTAGAAATTGCATCCTGGTCAGCTTAAAATTAAACACTTTAAGTGTTTGTTTTTAGCTGTCCTGCATAGACAGAAGTAGATTTCAGCTCTGCTGGGTAGTTCAGTTGGTTACTAAACTTTTGACATATGTGTACCACTTCTATAATTTTCATTACACTGAGTACCCCTCATACTCATGAGAACATAGAATTAGGCACAGCTAAGCACTGTGCAGTGCATATCCCTACCAAACTCCGGTGCAACGCGTACCCCCACCAAACTCAGTACAATCAGTACCCCTGGGGGTATGCATACCA